TTGTCGCTTCGCACGTGAGCGATGAGCGGAGTAACTTAGAGACAAGCACATCCGGCCCCACCAACATACTAGTAGCCAAAGACACATGCCGAAACCCAGACAATATGCATCACAATACCGCTCAGAAGCATCGAGTCTCACGCACGACCCACCGACTCAAAACCCGGCATTAAACCTCGCAGCGACCTGACTCTCCCTGAAGCGCTCAAAGGCCTCGGGATCACACCTCTCCAGCTCCACGACCTCCTGCGCCGTGACTCCCAGATCCTTCAGCGCCTTCTCCATGCCGTCACGGTGACACTGCTCGTGGAATTGTGCAATCTCCTCGCCGCGCATGTTGGCGATGCGTTCCTGTATGACTCGCAAGCGCGACGCCTCGGCCGATCGTTCTTCGTCGGATGACGTCGTGCTTGTAGTCTGCGAAACAGAGTTCGGCTCGTCGTTGACGGTGCGAGGGTTGGTGGCAAGTGCGATCTCGCGACACACGGATTGGCCGTAGCGATGCATGCGGCCTTCTTCGTGGGTCAGGGCTTTGGAGGCGAGGGAGGTGTTGGATGGCGTCCGCGAGAGTTTGAGAGCGAAGGGCTCTTCGTCTGCATCTTCCAGGGCTTCTTCGCCCGATGTGGTATTGGCGAGTCCATTGATCTCGGTTGAGGCGGAGAGGATGGATGCGTCGGCATAGGAGGAGTCACGGTCTGCCTGTGATGTGCTGGAGGTCCTGGATTCAGATGGTGGAGGGGGGAGTTTGCATTCGGGGTATTCGTCCTCGAAGCGCTGGATCATGCGCTGAAGGGTTGAGTCTAAGAATTGAAGACGGCCTATAACATGATAAGTCAGCACAAAATACCCACTCAGTGGTGTGCGCGATCATACGGTAATTGAAATCATTGCCAGCCTGGTCTTCGCGAACGAGGGCTGGCTTCAACCTCATCCTGATCTTCCGTGCACTCTCAAGCAATTGCTTGCTCATGTCACGCGGCTTTTTGTAGGAAGCCGGATCCTCTCCACTGGCGCCGAATTTCGGTGTGCCTGATCCACTGGCGCCAGGGGTGCCGTGGGGTGAGATGTTGCTCGATACCACTCTACTTTTCTCATCAGCACTCCTTAGACACACACCAAGTGCTTTCACTATAGCATTGCCTCCCATGAGATAGTCATCATCGGGTGCAGGATCATCTGCATCGTGATTTTCTTGGTATCCTTCCATGTGTCCGACAATATGTAGAAGGATTTCTGGAGCATCCTTGTCTGGGGCACCCTTCGAGGAAGGTGACGGCTCTAGCTCTCGCAAAGCACCATGCTCCATATTTCTCAACGTGTAGGCGATCACTTGGGATGCCATCGCCTTGACGACCTCGTTGCTTTCAGCACTTGGGACTTCGATTTCGATGGCAATGATAGTATGCGATACGCGCACTGCAGTCATTAGAGAAGCGAACAGTGCACAAGCCTCTTCTTGTGCACCACTGTCTTTCGAGTTCATGAGTTCACTGATAGGAGCATTGTCAAGGATGCTTAGGTGTGCTAACGAAGAGCACTCAGGCAAGATCTCAGCCAAAGCTATCGCATGTTCAGAGGATAGTCCGACGTCGTTCAAATGAATGCGTTTCAAGGAGGCCATCTGAGGTAGGTACTTCCTGAGAATAGACACTGCGTTTGGCTGTGTAGCGAACAGTCTTGAATTGTGCGAGAGATCCACAAATCGAAAGTTCTTCAGCTTGACAAAACTTGGAAGCAAGACTTTGAGGTCTGAAGTTGTCAGATTGCAGCCGGACAAGCTCAGAGCAAAAAAGTTGTTTTCGGTGGTAAATGAATTTGATAGCGGCTCCATGCAACCGTGCAAATCGTTATCCCCGAGATCCAGACCTTCGCAAACACCAGATTCGACATAACGAACAATGTGATCTAAGCCTTCCGTGGTGATGTTGTTTCCCGCGAGACCCAGTCTCCTCAGCCTGCATTTCAGAGAAGCATCAATGATATCGCTGATGTTGCTAGTCGATAGAGAACAAGTGCTTAGTATTAGTTCTTCCAGCTTATTGCCAGCAAACCGCTCAGCAAGAGCTCTTGACAAAACCGATCCTAGACTACCATTACTGGAGTGGCTCATGTTTGTGGTATTGCTTGCTGCCGTGTTTGCTGTATTCGTCCTTGATAATTCTCCAGACATGCTTTCAGCTGGAAAAGGTATCCCGGATAGATCAATAGCCCTTAGAGACTTCGACATATGTAGAAATAATGCAATGTGTTTCCAACCGATGCTTGTAAGCTTCGAGTTACCCTTGAGTGAGACCTTTTCAATAACGCCAAGCTGCTCTTCACCTTTCCGACCGGTTCCTCGTTTGGGAAGCTTCTTGTTCTGCTTTGCTTGTTCTGGTGTCTTACAACCTAATAGCCCTGACAACACAACTCTGAGTCCCTCGTCGGTCAGCTGGCAATCTTCAAGCAGAAGTTTTCGGACAGGCACAACGGCGAGCCAGTCGCCCAGAGTGACGAGCTCGGGCAATGTCATTACTGTTCCAGAAAGATCTAGTACAGCAACAGTTCCCGGCGACTCGGCAAAAGTGGATGAAGGTGAGGATATCTGATCACAGACTTTCTTCACGATGCTGGTTTCTCTCAGCTGAGCACATCGTTTATATATCCGAAGAGGATCAGTCGTGGGGGATGAAGTCATGTTTGGAGTGGAGGCACCAGGAGGAGACGGTGACGGACTTGAGTCGTCCTCTCCGTCATCGTTGCAGCCAGTTAGTTCTAGTGGGACTTTGCCATTGGCTTCGGCATGTCTCCGTTTCCTTTCCTTCCTCTCTTTACGTTCTGCTTCCGATCTCTTCTTCTTTTCCTTTTTCCTGGTTCCAGCAATTTGTTGTGGGTCACTTGACGCTGCTTCTGCAGCTGTGTCAGCTGGCTCTTGGGGCTCTGGTACGGTAGCCGATGCTGTGGGTTGACTGGACGGATCCGTAGCCTTTTCATTGTTCTGTACCACTGTTTCCATTTCTTCTTTCTGCACCTTTGCCGCTTGTGGGTTCTTCAACACAGCGCCTTCAGCCTTGTCTTTGAGCATTGCCTCCTTGACATCTTTCTTGCCATCCTTTTTATCTTTCTTGTTTTTGGCAGCTTGAACTTGAAGTTCTAGCATTGGTAAGCTCTGCCGGCGGGCTACTGGAACTTCAGGTGCTCTTTGTTCCCTACGCTCTGCTTCGAACTCTTCGACTTCATGCCAGCTGGCATAGCCCGCTATTTCAACGTCAACGCAGAAAGCAACTCGTTTCAATTTGCTAGGTTCGAGTTCGGTTATCTTAACACGCTCCCTATTCCGGTCCACATTCATGATCCTACGCTGGCATGCTTGGTTATTACCAGCCCCCTTCCCGAAACCTGCATGACCAGAAGAGGAAAATTTCCTGAGTGCGCTCTGCAAGAAGCCTGGGTTATCATCTCGTTCCTTGCCAGCTTGTACCAACACCGATGGCCGCCTAGTCGCATGAACAGGTGTAAGAGCTGGCTGATCCTCCTGTTTTGCTTCTTTCCTGAGATCCACCTTTGGACCACCTCCATTTTGCGCTGTGCTGGAGGGATTGGTAAGTTGTACAGTTGGACTAGTAGGGCGCGTGTTACTAGAGGTTGCTGAAGCGTCAATGCTGGAACTGCGAGTTGGTGACGGCGCACCGGAGGAAGAGGAGAACTTGGAGCTCAAATTGGCGATCCAGGAGGCCCTACGCGGAGGCTGTTTGGGCGAGAGGTTCACTTTGGGGCTGTTTTGCGATGGGTTCTTGTTCTCGTCTTGTTGACTTGTTCGGCCGAGGAGGTGAGGACGCTTGAGGTGGTGTTTTTGCCCTTGCGAGGCAGGCGGAGTAGGATTCGGAGCCGGAGCGGTCACAGTGGCAGGGGAACCGTCGCTCGCCGGGGAAGGCCTAGGCGCTTCTGGTTGTCCACTCACTTCTTGGCTATTAGATACCGTCACCCTCTCGTTGATATTGTTTGCGCCATCTGACTCTGCTAATATGCGTGGCTCTTGGGTAGATACTGGCGTTTGTGGTGGTGTGGGCTCAGCTCGCAAGGTTGTAGAAGGTGGATGATGAGTTTGTATCTTGGGGGCATTGACGCTGTTTCGTCGGATTTGATCTAGAGATGTGTCAGCCTGATCCAAACCTGTCTGCATATCAATATATTTATGACCGCAACAATGACCTCAGAAGTCAGTATTAAAACACCTCGCTAACGCCTGTGCTCACCTTTCCTCGAATGCAGTAGCCATCCCACATCAAGATTACCCACGTTGTCATCCGACATCTTGCCTAACCGAGCCCCTGCTTGAGGAGATTCGACAGGCACAGACGAAGACATGCTGGCTTTCTGTGTTTCAATGGGTTGCTGTGGTCTTGAATTGGCCTCTCCAAGGGAAGTCCTCTTGCAGGAATGTGGTGAATGCGGCCGGACGGGAAACGCAACAAGCAACCTGCCAGCTATCGAAACATGATGAGTCTCGTTCGGTCCTCGGAGCAGTGGATGTCAATGCGACAAGATAGAAGTAGATGAACTTGACAAGACTTATGCAATGGAGCTGAGAGAGATCAGGAGCACAGCACTACCATCACCGTCTAGCATCACCGTCGTCTACGATAACCCCTCATAGTGATGAACCTGGACCGGAGCCCGAGGCAGGCCTTACTTAACTAGCCTCAAGCCGCTCGATTCCAGCATACTACTCCGTACGTATTACTTACTGATTACTCACTCTCCTTCAGCTCTCGCTCCACGTGAATGTCAGCATACAATGATAGACAACACTGTACTCCGTAGGCCTAGTTGACAAATTTACCCTCCTCTGCATACTATGATGCCAACCTGCGATTCCATTCTACAGACCACTGCAGCTCACACGACGATCAGGTAATCCAGACACCGGAGATGTCAGATCCCTGCTAATGCCGGCCAACGCTCCACTCTGACGTCCGCCGGACCTCTGTTACATATTGTTGGACCAAAAGACCGCGGCCCTCGAAGGACCGGTAAATAGCTTATGTCTGACACATATCTCCACGTTCTCTACGAGTCCTTAGTACCTCTAGAGATTTGTTTGACAGACAAACTTTATTTCAATTACTTTCCCATAAAGATACGACGATATTCAGTTACATCATTTGGAATACATGTTTTTGTTTTAGTAGAGCTTCTCATTGTGTGTTCTCTTCACTAGAAGTTATGTCATGTCTGTAAAAACATGCTGCATGCTGTGTGCCAGCCACGATGTCCAGCTCAGCTTCCAGCTTACATCTTCGGATCTCCGCACCAATTGGGTGACGCGCCGCAGCAGAACGTGATCAACAGTCACAACTAAGATGTCAATTCCTCAATCTTCGACTTGATCCTTGCTTCTTTCTCCTCCTTGCTCAGCTTCTTGTTCCGGTATTTCTTCCCCTCAGCTTTCCACTCCTCCTTGCTTTTCTTGTCTCCTTCTTCATCATCCTTCTTGAATGGGTCTTCTCTGATAGCCTTATGTGCCTCCTGCAACATCTCCTCAAGTCCATCAGCCTCGATATCGTTCTCGATGTACTTTGCGAACTGGCTTTTGTAGCGTTCTTCATCATCGTCTGCAAGAGTCTCCATGTACTCGGCGACATGGCCAGCGAAGATATATTTGCGGAGCGTCTCTGCATCGAGCTCCTTGGTCTCCTGATCGTAGCCAGGGAAGCGCTTCTCATTGTGAGGTACATAAATACCGCCGTCTGAGGCACCTTTGAGGGCGCCAAAAACACGAGCTCCTGTGGATGTGCGGTGAAGACCAACATCGAGGAAGCACTTGAAGGGTCGTCGTTCTCCATCGTCCGTCTCTGCCGCCTCGGTCAACTTGTATTCTCCATCCGCCTCCTCAACGCCTGTGAAAGTTTCATCGAGTTCGAGTTTCTTGAGGGCACGTCTCGCAAGCAACAGTCCAGTAGCGTAAGCGGCAGCCCAGTTGGTCAAGCCGTTGGTGATACCGTATCTTTTGAGCTCGTGAGCGTATGCAGCGCAAAAGACTTTGTCTCCATCGAGTTGGGCAGTGACCAATTGACAGATGATATCTCGGTTGGTGAAGCGGACTACCATGCGATACTTTGGCGAGTTGTACTTGTTTTTGGCTTGGGCAATGAGACGTCGACGAGCATAGTAATCGGTCTTGCCCTGTCTGCGGCGCTTGTATTTGGTTTGAAAGCGGCTGAACTTGGTAAGAAATCTATAAAAGGACCCAAGGAATGTGTGCCCCTTACCTGTAGTATGCACTGTTCTTGACGAGTTTTGTGAAAGGCTAAGAAATCCCCGAGTCAGCAATTTGCGCTTCAGACCAGTTCCGAAGCATCTTGCAGAGACTCCACGCGGTTTTCGAAGATGATCGTCGTTCTATATACGCAAAATGAAAGATCCCACCTACCATCTTGCTTGTTGCTCAGACGAATTTCGTGTATGAATTGCCAGTGGAGGAGGGAATATTTTGTCTCCAAATCAACGGTTGTGCGCAAGATGTATGCCAAGCCCGCTCAAGCTGTAAAAATAGAATGGTTGGCGACGAGCATCATTGCAGTGCCAAATTCAGATGCTAGTGCTTCCAACTGCGCCTTGATCACACAGAATACTACGATAGTCTCACCACACTACAGCTATAGGCTTGCAGCAACCGGATGATGTTCTCTGGAGGTTCTAACTGGAGGTCGAACCCCGTCCATGGATACTGAAAAACTCTTCCAACTTCATAGACTGACATTCTGAACTATCGAGAGCCTTCAAGCTGTAACTATATCAATATATTGGTATTATGTTATCATCTCTCAGATCATCCCAGCTTTGTAACAAGTGTAAAGCCCTTCAATCCTATGTCCTAGCTAGAGCACTGTTGACACTCATGAGTGTCAACATGATTCTCGTTGCCTAGCGGGTCCAGTAGACATTGTTTGTGCCCGCATCAGTCCACTCAGATATTAGATAGAACAAAACAGACTGTCTTGTGTTTGTCTGCCTAAGCATTAGAACGAATGATAGTTCCCAGGTTGCATAGAAGAGGTCGAAGATTGAAGGCCACGCTGATATGTACTCGGCCGCATCGACAGTCGTTCACACAAAAGAACAGGACAGATCACACCTTGCACAGAGTTGTACATCCCCAACCAGCCACAACAGCTCCTTACAGCTCAATCAGGCCAACAATGCCCACGTGCTGGAATTGTTTGAAAGAGGTAACGATTGAACATTTCTTGGGAGGTGAAGCTCCAACCTGCCAAGAAGCAGATCTAGGGGAGCCGGGGCCCGAAGTTCCGACATCCGAGGATCAGCCGTACTCTTCCAGAGCACATCACCAACATCAGCAACATCCTCCACTGCGATCATTGTTGGTGAGCTTGTTGACAGCTTCGAACACCAGAAGATCTGTATCGTCTGACATTGGACAGCCAGAAAACAACCTCCCCAACCGAACTGTATCATCAAGCTCGCGTTCACCTGCAATCGATATCATTCGTCGCGGCACCGTCCGTCGCATCCAGTCAATTGACCGTGCTCGCAAGGAGTCTGCAATCAGTGACCGTCGCAGCATCACTAGAAATCGTACACCTCTATCTGCTCCTACTTCCCAGCGCCCTCTTCGAAAGTTCTGGTCTGCAAGGAACCGCTGGCAACGATTTCTGTCGCTGCCGCCGATCCCAGAAGAAGAAGAAGAAAAGGAGGAGAAAAAGGAAGAGGAAGAAGAAGCCGAGGCCAGTGGAGAAGTGACCCCCACTCAACGCTCTAGCAGACGGCGTCCAATTCCACCTCTGACACCGTGGCGGCGACTTTGCTTGATCCAAGATTACAGTGATCGCGACGAGGATTTACGCACCACCATCAACCGACTAGATGATGCGATAGCTTCATCTCCAGAGCTGTGGACCCCAGGCACTTCCGAGAGAATTGATGGCCAACCCGCCCCCCCACATCAATTTTATCGAAGGCTCCATGAGTACCACCAACAACGCATCGCACACCATGCGCCAAGCTCCATCCCCTACTTCTTCCCTCGCCTCGGGGCAAAACAGTATGAATGGTAGCATGTCTTCCAGCATTATGGCTCCATTACCCATAGGACATCAACAAGACCTGAATTTCCTTTATCGGCAAATGCAGGAGCTGGGAGAGATCCTGAAGAGTAATCGTGAAAAGGTCAATGGCATTACACAAGCCGCTGAAGAAGTAATGGTAGGCGGGACCGATCCGAGCACACATCTCTATACCTAACTGTCCCCTCCCAGAACCGAACTAGTGCAAATGGCAGCGAACAGGCAACGAGAGAAATGAATGGTGACGGCGGGGGTAAGGCTGTCAACCTCGCGGGCCTACTTGAATCGAGTGCTGAAATCCTTTCCTAGCATCACAAATCCGCAAACTGGAAATGCAATTACTCAAAGCCAACCGAGCGATTGAACTCCTCAAATCCGAACAATCTAACAACACCGAGCTGATCGGCAAATATGAAGACGCGCTCGGCACCTCGACCGAACAAATCCGCAACTACTGCACCGAGAACAACATGAACTACCTGGCCCAACGTCGACACTACAATAACCTTCTCCAAGCCGAAAAGGATGAACATCTACAATCCCGCCTTGACCGCGACTACTGGCATGCGCAGACCCTGAAAGTGTGCGAGATGCTCCGAACAGCTTACCGACTGAGGACGGATGAGTGGGGAGAGGAGCTTAAGATTGTTAGCGGATTGCAGAACGAGGTCCGGGTGTTGAGGAAAGCGTTGGGGATGGATGTTGAGAAGGCTGAGGATGAGACGGGGTGGCCGTATCTGAAGGATGCGCCGCTCCACCTGGATAGCATTGATGAGAGCTGATCCTCTTTCAGGATTTTCTTGTCGTTGTGACGCCTTGGTCTCTGCATAGCGAATGGCGTCCAAGTCCCTGTATGAACGAGAGATACCCAATAGCAAATTCCATCCCTGCTTTGTAAAGACTCCAGACGCCTTGCTAAAGAGAAGAAACGCCGCCACTTGCTCCCCTATATGGTCGAGGTCGTGCTTGATCCTTAGAGCACATCCATCACATCGCTCAACTTCTCCCTTTCCGTCCCGCCCCCCTCCACCCCAACCATCCTCTCCCTCCTGCAACATCTCCTCAAGTCCATCAGCCTCGATATCGTTCTCGATGTACTTTGCGAACTGGCTTTTGTAGCGTTCTTCATCATCGTCTGCAAGAGTCTCCATGTACTCGGCGACATGGCCAGCGAAGATAA